TTTTCCTGGGAAAATGACAAACACAGCAAGTCTTTAGGGACAGCGTCCAGTAGCACCTGCACAGTGGGTGAGAAAGTTTGGCATTATTAGGGAGGAACTGTGATGCAGTTATGATTCAGGACTTTCAAGGACTGGGTGGGGCCGTGATGTGGGACTAAGAAGGGTCTTTGTGCAGAGTGCAGCACTTCCTTGACTAAGCCATTACACAGGTCCCTCCCCAGATACTGAAGTTTAAGCTCCATATCCACCACAAAGGGGAAGGATGAATTACTGGGGGCTATTTTGGTTTCAAATGATTACTGAAAGGACAAGAATTCATCAATTTTTGATCTAGAAAAGACCTTCGAGCAATGCTAAAATCCACCTCCATATTCTTGTGTTATAAAATCCCTGTCTGGAAACTGACAGCTCAATGTAGACATTAATCACAACCATGTCCATGGCTCCCAGGAAAAAGAGAAGCTGCAGCGAACAAAATTGCCACCAGATTAAAAAATGTTCTTTCCTAACATGGCCTCTGGAATCCTAATCACGTTTATGCAAATTCTTGCTTTTCACTTATATCCTAGGCAGCAAAATTGCCCCTCACATTTAACACCCATCAAGATAGTGTGAATGCAGATCCCTCTGCAAGCACTTTCATTTAGCCACTATAAATTGAACCTCCTTGTATAAAATGTACAAAGATATTTGCATTGACCGATACAGTAACTAATCCTACTTATTTTTGGAAATATCCTCTGGTCTTCTTCCATAAAGAAATATCCATCTTTTAAAAAGAAGAAAAAGAAAAAATCTAGGGGATGCATGCACTCCTTGGTGAACTGGCCCCAAAAGCTGTTTGCTCCCTAAACCACAAGATAGTGCCTGCATGGAAAGGAGAGAACGCCCCCTAGTGAAACTGTTTCTGAACAGTAAACACCAAATTTCCATCTCCCATTTTCCTTTTCTTAATTTTTAAATGACATTAAAAATCCTTTCTTGTAGGATTTTGAAATATATACTAGATATAAACTACATTTATTTGTTAGCTATACTCACCCTATTGTGCAATAGAACAACAGAATGTATTCCTCCTACCTGTAACTTTGCACCTGTTGACCAATCATCTCCATTTTGCTTGCCATAGAATCTCAGGCCCCAACAGTGGTGACTGTGTTCGAGAAGCCAAGGCCCAGTGCCTAGGGCCCAGAAGCTTTTTACAATTAACTGTTTGAGATCTGCAGAAAGCTATTGGCTCCAAAAAGGCTTTTTAGATTACAAAGCTAAAATTAATAAATGCGTTTAAATGGATACAAAATACAACTCATCACAAGCAATTTAACTCTTAGTTACATGGAAATTATATTTAATGTGTGATGTGGGCTCATTTTATTATTTTCTATCTTCAGAGATGGGTCCTCTTAGGAGTTAAAGGCACATTTTCCATAGAGTCGACTTCTAAAGACCCTTCATGACCATAGACATGGTAAACCTAAGTTAACATTATTCTCTTAAACATATTAACAACAATAAATGAGCTGGGCATGGGAAATGGTAAAGCAACTCTCTCCTGCCCAGAATCAGTGCTGATTGAAGTTGTTCTGTTTCCATGTAACAATTGCTACATGCCAGTAATCCTAGCAGCTCAGGAGGCTGAGACAGGAGGATCACAAGTTTAAAGACAACCTCAGCAACTGAGCAAGGCCCTCAGCAACTTAGGGAAACCCTGTCTCAAAATAAAAAATAAAAAAGGACTGGGCATGGTGATGCACGCCTGTAATCCCAGCAGCTCAGGAGGCTGAGGTAGGTGGATCATGAGTTCAAAGCCAACCTCAGCAAGAGTGAGGTGCTAAGCAACTCACAGAGACCCTGTCTCTAAATGAAATACAAAATAGGGCTGAGGATGTGGCTAAGTGGTAGAGTATCTCCAAGTTCAATCCCTGGTACCAAAAATAAATAAATAAATTTAATTTAAAAAAATGAAAAAGGACTGAGGATATGGCTCAATGGTTAAGCATCTCTGGGTTCATTCACCCACCCCCATACACAGACAAAAAGCAATAAATGACAGAAAATCTTTAAAAAGTAATAGGACATGCAATTGCTTGGTAAAAGTTTACACATACTCCCAATTTATTTAAATCTTTACAATAATAAGTTAAAGAAGAATTTTTTTGGATAATTTTTTAAATTTTTATTTTCTTGACTTTTGTCAAAGTACAAAATATTTTAAGTTTTGAAGCAAAAATAAATCAGAGTCAAAAAGGATAACAAGCATAGTACTAACTTGAAAGATCATAGTATGTGACTCTAGAATCAGATATTCTGATTAGGAGTTGTATGACTTGGGATGTTTTACTTAACCTCTCAGTATACTAAGCTGTAAGTTGGGCATAAAAGAGTAATTCCCTCTCCAGTTTGTTGCAACACTAAAGTGAGTTCATGTACATGAAGTATTTAGAATAGTATTTAGGTCATAGTTAGAATTTAATGAATGCTAGCAATTAGCTATTATCCAATCAAATCATATCAATCTTAGATTTCCAGAAAAAGAACAAATTTATATTTTGGATAAATTAACTCTTGCCCAACAACTGCCAATCACTATTATTTTATTTTGAATGTTTTTATTCAGAAATACTCAAATTTGCAAAAGTTACAAAAATAAAAATAATCGAAGGAATCCTTATGTGGCCAGTTTTTACCCAAGTTTGCTTACTGTTAACATCTCCTTCCTTTGCTTTGTCCTTTGTGCTACACATCACTGCAAATTTGTCTCAACTTAATGTTCAAAATTTATAATGTACTTATTTGACATTTCTGAGTAACCAATTACTACAAATAGCACCTGAAGACATTACCAGTTTATAAGTTCACAGTGATATCAGTCCCAAGTCTGGAGATAGCATAGCCAAATTCACTGCTCAGAGCCTAACAAGGCTAAAATCAAAGATTGGTCTTTCCGGCAGCTCTGGGAAGAATCTACTTCCAAGCTTATGCACTACTGATGGCCAAATTCAGTTTCTTGCAGTTATACAACTGAAGTCCCTGTCTCCTTACTGTCAAATGTAGGTCACTCTAAAGTCCTAGAGGTCACCCACATTCCTCACAACATGTCCCCATCCATCTTCAAAGCCAGCAGTAAAGAATGTGCCTCATAGCAAATCTTCCTCCAGTTTCTTCTAAGGGATATGAGTAGGCCATTTCAGCATTCGGCCCACCACGTGTGATGAGACACATTGTGTATTTTAGTCTGTTTGGGCTAGCATAACAAATATCAGAGACTGGGTGGTTTAAACAACAGGAATTGATTTCCTCACAGTTCTGGAGGTTGAAAGTCCAAGAACAAAATATCAGCAGGTTTGGTGTCATCTGAGGCCTCTCTCCTAGGTTTGCAGATAGCTGCCTCTGGCTGTGTTAACCTTACATGACCTTTCTCTCAGTACATTCACAATCCTGTTGTCTTTGTGTCCAGACTTGCTCTTTTTCCTTTTGTGGGGGTGGGATGGGATTAAACCCAGGGACACTTTCCCTCTGAGTTATAACCTCCAGCCCCTTTTATGCTTTTCTGTTTGTTTGTTTGTTTTTGAGACAGGGTCTCCCTAAGTTGCCAAGGCTGGCCTCAAACTTGTGATCCTCAGCCTCCTGAATCTCTGGGATTATAGGCATGTGCCTTTTCTTGCAAAGACACCAGTCATACTTGAATAAGTCTTCAGTCATGACTTTCAGGGAACAAAATTCAGCCCAAACAGTGGAAAAACAAAATTAAGAGCCAATAGTTAATGAGCTACTGGGCAGATCCTGTGCTAAACATTTTTTTTTTTGTAGACTATCTCACTTATATAAATCACTAGATTAAATTACATGCCATTAGATCAAATTTCAGATTTCTCAAAATGTTTTCTTCATTCTTGATTAGGAATTCTAGAGGATTTCTTTTGTGATCTGATTCCTAGAGCCATCTATCTCTACTATAATGTGTCCCCATGCTCCATTTTTAGGACAATATCTTTCACCCACCAAGTTTGGTTGAGCAGATGAGCTTGGTACAGAGACACTAAGATCAGTAATCAAAATTCCTGCTCTCAGAGAGTTTAATCAAGAAAGACACATTTTATGTATGTCTCCATGTTCATTTTGAAAACTCTTACATAATAAGCATTAATTATATTTATAGAATCTGCACAATTAAGTTATTATGAAAGCTGAGACAGTCAAAATTAAAATAATGATTTCCAGAAAAATAACCCCTCTCTGAATATTTGATATTGCCTTTACCTTCTTGAGCTGCAAGATCCCTAATTGTATGTGGCTTTTGGTAAATTCTCTGTGATTGGAGAAGACCCACCTGGGATTTGAAGATGAAAAGTAGTAACATAAAAATACTACAGCTGATTAGGTTAGGTGTTTCAAGTTCCACTGGAAAGAAAAGGAGAAGGGGTGGGGAAAAGAAAGGAAGGAGAGAAAGGAGGAAGAGGAGAAAGAGAGAGGAGAGGAAGAGAGAAAAAGAAAAAGGAAGGAAGGAAAGAAGGCAGGCAGGTGGGCATTTAATACAAAAAACACAGCAGGGGAGAGCCCTGGAAGGAAAGGTTCTGAAAAACCTAGAAAACCTTTCATTTTTTTCACGGTCCACTGCACTCACTTTGTGTGCCACTTGCGGAAACTTATGGAGGCGAAGGCAGCATTTGCAAGTACTGAAGGAAATGAAATTGGCGGACCAGGCGCTGTCAGCTGTGAGCCAGGTGCGATGATGGCAAGCCCGGGAAGCGCCCCTTCCTCCCGCGCGGTGGGGCCAGCTCCCTGCAGGCTCTCTGCCCTCCCCGCCCCTCCCCGCCTGCAGCCTGCAGTCTCTTCCCAGTGCGCCGCGGGCCAGGTGAATTCTGCATCCCGCTCATCACTTCATTCGCGGCGCCTGGGGAGCACTGCCCGGCCCCGCACGGCCCCGCCTCGCCGCGTGCCACTGAGGGTTTGATAAATGGCTTGTGCGCCCGGTGCCCACACCTCGCTCACGTCCTCAGTCCGCAACAGTGGGACCTCCGCCCATGGAGGTGAACACATACCTGGAGCTCTACCTGGACCGATGCGCTGCCCAGGTGAGCCTGGAAACTACTGTCCCGGAGTCAAGGCCCCCGCCCTACTGCTGAGCGCCAAGGCGAAACACGACGGAGTTCCCTTTGCTTCCCCTAGTCTTTTCTGGCTACTACGGGGCTCTGCCTCTCTGAGGCAAAGGTAGACTCCTATTCCGCTCAGCACTGGTGCTGTACTTGAAGCTATGGCAGCGTTTGATGCCAAAGATAGGCTAAAGAAAGTCTCCCTGGGGGAGTTGTTGGTTATGGGGTTTACGGAAATGTGAACTGTAGGCACCTGTGGCTTCCATCCCTAACAGACAGGGTCTTGCTATGATGCCCAAGGCGGTCCTGAATTCCTAGGCTTAAGTGAAGAAACCATGAAGAGGAATTAGGGCCCATTTGTACCCACTTTTCTTAGGGTGGGAGTGGGGATGGGGAGAGATGGGGTCTAAAATTATATAATTCAAAATGAAACAGCCGTCAGAAATCTTGTTTCAAGATAATAACTTCATGTTTCTAAGCAAGTTCTTTGAACAAGTCACCCCTGCCATCTGCTGGTCTTGTAATAATAGAGCAGTCCGATAGGATCCAGCCAGATATTGTGTGTTAGTTGAGGGAGCTTGGTCACTCAGAGGATGCAACATGATGCATGTGATCATTCAGTTGTTCTGTAAGCAGGGCTCAAAATCCAGATCCCAGGTCTGTGCCTTGTGTAAAGCAGGTGGTAATGCATGGAGCAATGGAACACGTTTTTACATCAGCTGCTGCCCTCAGGTGCTGGGTAATAGTAATTGAACAGCTTCCCTGGGTTGGAAACAGGAAACATTGATTTAAACTATTCTTAACATTTCAACTTCAGCAACTTTTCCTATTGTAAATTACATAACTAGAATGTCCTCTTATCTGTCCTTTTACCAAAAAAAAAAAAATCACTAGGTTATTGGTGTTATTTGGTGAGTCTTGATTAATAGTTAAGACTATATTTTCATATTATTTTATAAAATAAGAATTTAAAATTCAGTTATTTAAGTCAACTGAAGTTTATAATTAACAAGTAGTACAGTGAATCTATTAAGTATACACTATTTTGAACATGGTTGTTCAATTGTCTCTATTACAAAATTGGATTTAAAGAGTGGCAACTTGGGTGTGATGGTGCACACCTGGAATTCCAGTGGCCTGTGAGGCAGGAGGATCACAAATACAAGGCCAGCCTCAGTAGCTTAGCAAGGCTTGAAGAAATTAATGAGAGCCTGTTTCAAATAAAAAAGGGCTGGAGATGTAGCTTGGTGGTAAAGCACCCCTGGGTTCAATCTCCAGTACTCTCTCAGAAAGACAACCACCAAAAACACTTCTAGGTCTTTAACTGAAGTTTTAAAAACATTTTGTGATAAGTATTCTTTCTGTATTTTAAGATACTTTCCTGTTATTGTTTTGTAATCTGTAATACTTTTTTTTTTTTTTTTTTTTGGTAGTGGGAATGTAATCCAAGTAAATCATCCACAGAGCTATATCCTTAGCCTTTTTTTTTTTTTTTTTTTTTGGAGACCGGGTCTAAGTTCAAGACTGGCCTTGAATTTGTAATCTTCTTGCCTCAGCCTCTGAAGTTGCTAGGAGCTGACTGTAATAGAATCTCAATGATACTTTACAGAAAGATGCAGGGTATGAGTAGAAGCCATCTTGAAATACCTCAAGCTTAACACATTGCCTGCCTGCCATAGTGCTATCCCTTTGGTGTTTAACGTGCTGTTTTGTCTGTTGTGTTTTGTCTGTTTTGGGAACTGCCTAGGATGACCTTGCCCTACCAGTGTCTCCCCTGTTCAGCCCAGTTGTACCTTATGAGGGGTACTTACCTAATCCATCCAATTCAGAGATTGTACTTAGTTCACAACTTGAAGTCAGAGAAACGTCCGGTGATTTCTCATCTGTGGATCTTAGCTTCCTGCCAGATGAACTTACCCAAGAAAATAAAGACCAGACTATCATTAAAAGCAAGTGTGAAACTGAAGAAAATTGTAAAACTCGACAAAATAGCTTGCCATTACCCAGCGAACAGCTGAGCGTAAAAAGCAGCAGTTTATCAAATTCCCATTCACATCTGCACCCTGGTAGTGCTGATTCAATCTGGCTCTCTTCTGAGAAAACAAACTCTGACACCTTGCCTCTGTCATCCATAACTCCCATGACTCCAGTGACCCCTCTTTCAGAATGTTCTGGAATTGTGCCTCAAATACAGTAAGTGTTGCTTTTTAAATAGATGCTACTGGGTATGCATATTATATTCCTGAATGTGATGACAATTTTGAAAGATAATGTATGGAAGAGAATTTCAGATTTCATTATTAAATATTTCCTAATGGATTATGGCTTTAGACAGTTTGGTTTTCTGTAAAAGGAAGTGCCAATTCTTGATTAAGAGGGGGTCAAGGGTTAAGACATTTTTGAAAGATTATGTTGTTTACACTAAAGCACTGCTGTTAAATTGTGGTAAGGGTTGGCTATGAAGATGTAAAATTGGATTTGATTTGCAAATAGTTTTGGAATTGTGGTTTCTGTTTTCAGGCATAGGTCTAAAATTTAAAACTTTACTGATGGAATTTTAGAAAAAGCTATTTACTACTTCACTTTGGGATTGTACACTTTATTAGGGACCTTGTTACTATATACTTCACTTTGAGAAGAATTCTCTCCCTAGGAAGTTTCTATGGCACAATCTATGAAATGAGGGAGGTAATAAGTTGTTTCATTTTTATTCTTTATAGCTGATATAATTTTCTAAGTTATTTCTTTAGGAACATAGTTTCCACTGTAAACCTGGCCTGTAGACTGGATCTGAAGAAAATAGCTTTGCAAGCCAAAAATGCAGAATACAACCCAAAGGTAAGATTTCTGAGTTTTCTTTCAACCAGTAGCTTCTCTTTAGATTTACTTTCCTTCATGTGAATATAACTCTTAAAAAAAAAAAAAAAACTAATGAAAAGCTTCTGCAACTCAAAACGTTAACTATCTAAAAGTTATGAAAGATAATCTTTGGTGGTACATGACTGTAATCCCAGCTACTCTAGAGATTGAGGCAAGAGGATCACAAGTTCAAGGCCAGCCTGGGCAATTTAATGAGACTGTCTCAAAATAAAAAGGACTGGGGATGCATCTCAGTGGCAGAGCACCCTGAGTTCAATCCCTAGTACCATAAAATCATCAACATCATCATATTCTCTGTGCTGAATGAAGTAGTAATTGAGTAGTTCCTAAAAATTAATCTTTTCTTTGACATTCAAAAATATTTTTCAGTCTATTTTCAGCTTTCTTAAAATGCCATTATGTTTCTGGAAATACATTCTAAATGTTGTCTCATCTAACGGACACTTCTATTTTTCCATTTACAGTTTCTCTTAGTTGAGAAAGCTAAATTAAAATTTAATCTTATACTTGCTAATGTAAGAAATAAACTTGCCAAAGTTTATTAAACTCTATTCTTTGTGCCTTGCCAAGGGCAGGCATGCTCTTTTCAATGACCTGTTGACCTTGTGGGAATTGGATTTGTTAAGCCCATCAACATTTACTGATTTTTTTTTTTCCAGGCTCTGTACTTAGGTGTATGAAGATAAGGAATACCTGGTTCCTACCAAGAAAAAGTTCACTGGCTTAAGTAGTGGGAGATTTAGTCAAATGAAAAAGACCACATTAGTGCGAACCCAGAGTCCTTGTAACTACTTCTGGATTAACTTTCTTTTGCTGTTGTAGTATTGTTGCTGATATCTAAATTTAATGTTACCTAAGTGTTACCCAAATACAATATAGCTGTCCTTTTAGTTCATATTGCTGGCTATGAAAAGGAAACGGCTAGAATTCCTATGGCTACAGCAATGATTAATAACATGATTGAAAAAATCAGCATCTTGCCTACATTCCCCCCCCCCATTTCTTTTTGGAGGACATGTAGCCTCTTTTGACATTCAAAAATATTTTTCAGTCTATTTTCAGCTCTCAGAATTTATACTTGACTCCCAAAGAAATTCTTGCTTAGCACTTACACTACCTTAGAAATTTAGCAAAATGAATGGTAAGGCTATTACCTTTCAGTAATAAATACCTGAAAAACATGAATAGGACTTGATCAATTCTGTGTTAGTGTTGACTCGGGTTTCAGCTAAATGGGGAGAGTAGAGTTGGGAAAGTGTCTGTGAGGGCCAGCAGGAGAGACAGGTCATTTAATGACATGTCAATGTGGAGGACCAATAGGTCTCAATTCTCAACAGCATCAGCCTCACCTGGAGAGTTTGCCAACTTTAAGAACTATGGAAGGCAGGAACCTGACAAAGCAGCCTTTTCCTTCATCTTCAGGATGTCTGTCATTACATATATTCAGTTCTGTATTTTGGTTACCTGGGTACTCTCTAGTTTTGGCACACCTATAACATACTATACTTGAACTTTTCCCAAAATCCTTTGTGGAGGGGAGTACATCAGCGTAACAGTCTGATTAGTTGTGACTTTATATCCTAAACATACCATTTCCTATATAATATTGGAAGTTAAGTAACCACTTAGTTTCCTTCTGTACTAAGTGAGGATAATGATGGACTCAGTCGGGTCATGAGGATTAATGAGAGATAACCTGTAAAGTTCATAACACGGAACCTGAAATGTTCCAATTTTAACTGTCACTATTTGTATTTTAGATTCTTTTAGATTCTCAATAATTTTTGTAAATGATTAATAAACCATTGTTTGTTTTTTCCATGCAATCTGTTTCTTCAAGACTGTTTTCTTATCCATCCCAGGTTTTCAACTGAGCTAGTGCTAACTTCTAACAGGCTAATTCTTCTCTTGGTTCTGTGTACAGAGGTTTGCCGCAGTCATAATGAGGATCCGAGAGCCCAGGACAACAGCCCTCATATTTAGCTCTGGGAAAATGGTTTGCACAGGAGCCAAAAGGTATGAAGAACCACCCTCCACTGTTATAAGACAAACAACTTACTATGTAAAACAAGTGTAGCTATTAGTATAGCAACCTGGGCTCAGGATGTAGCTCATTGATAGAGTGGCAGCCTAGAATATACAAGGCCCTAGATCTGATCCCCAGTAAAGGGGATGTGGGAAGCACATAATGGGAGCAATATATTTTTATTTGCTGAATAGTTCACACCATGAAATGCCAAATTCTGAGTTAAAAGAACTCAGTCTAATAATATTGAGTTATGTCCCACACAATACAGTCTGCCAGTTAAACCAAATTAAGTCCCCTAGACTTACCTGGGGAAGTATTATTACAATTTGTTTGTTTGTGGTCCTGGGTATTGAACCCATGGTCTTGCACATGCGAGGAAAGCACTCTACCAACTGAGTTATATCCCCAGCCCCTTTACAATTTATTTTTAAGAAGCATTAAAAAAACTATAGTAGTGACAAAGCAAATTTATTATAAGACTAGAGAAGTCATCACTGTGGACTTTCCTCATTGCAGATAAATGGGTAGAATTTTCTAAATGGACATTTCTTGAGCATTAGCTCAGGAGGCATCACTGACAAGGCTTCTTTCTGGATCTCCTGCAGAAGAAGCCCTAGGCTAATATATATTCTTTCACCATAAAGCTAGTGGAAGGGATGCTTTTCCCTATAGGTGCTGGAAGATGTGTAGGAAGTTGTCTTCCTGAAAGGTTTTATCAATTTCTCCTTGCCTACAGATGTGCCAAACATTAGTTTTCTCCCATAAATGCTGGCTATAAATGTTCAAATATGTTTGTTAAATTTATGGACAAAGTTGTTTTAATGTACATTTACTTGATTACTAGATTAAATATCATTTCATAATCGTGTTAAATTGCTTAGTATGTATTTGGTTCAATATTCTACCATATTTGTCTTTTGTTTATAGCTTAGTTTTTGTACTTGGGATTGACCCAAGGGGTGCTTTACTACTGAGCTATATCCCCAGTATTTACTTTAAAATTTGAGACAGGGTATTAAGTTGCTAAGCCTGGCCTTGAATTTGTGATCCTCCTGCCTCAGCTACCTGAGTCACTGGGATTATTGATATGTGCCACTGTGCCCAACTTTTTGTTAATAGCTTTTTATGGTTAAGTTTTCATTATATATATATTTTTTTATCTCAGATTAGTTTTGTGTTTTATGGTGACTTTTTAAAGTGCCATTAAAATTTGGGGGTGTATATATAGTCTATCCAATTTTTCTGGTTTGTTTAGTTTCATGCTTGGGAAGGCATTCCCCTTGCACAACATTATATAAAGATTTCCATATTTTTCTTGTCTTTTTCAGGTCCTGCTTTTTACTAGGGAAAGGGTAGCTGACATTTTGATTCCCATAGAGCTTTCTTTAGATGATGGGAATATTATGCATCTGCTGTCCAGTGGAATAGCCACTCATCACATGTGGCTGTTGAGCACTGGAAATAGAGCTAGTGCAACTGTAGGTCTGAATTTTTAACTTAAATTCATCAGATGGAGCAGATCCAGAATTCTGTCAATATAAAATGACTTCTCAAATCATTAGTCAGTGCCCATATACATTCTGACTCTGTTCTCCCTCCACCTTTTTTATATTTTAAGTTTTTTACATGTATCTGAATAAACTTCTGGACTCTCTTCAATTGATCTATGGATCCCTAGTCCCAGAAATCTCCACTTAAAAAATTTAGATGGACATTTAAGCAAGATATTTGTAAGGGTGTTCATTTCAGCACTGTTAAAATGGGGGAAACCAAATTAAAAATCTGATGTTTTGATTTAAAGTCAAAGTAAATTGCATTAGCTGTATACATGGATATTGAATTGGAAGGATGGTCACATGTTATGTTGGACTGGTTGTGGAGCAGGCAACTAAATTATAGGTTCATTATCCAACTTTCATTGTGAGATATGCTCATATTATGCACACATTCATGAATCTTTCCCCTCTGAATTTGGTTTCTAAAATCTGAGGTAAAAGCTTGGATAGTGAGATCAGTTAGAGAGATTTATTATCTAAACCTATTTAGTTATAATAGCAAGAGTGAAGAGCACTGTATTTGCTTGGGAAGAGTGCAAAAGGTAAAATTTAAGTGGTTATTATTTTTGGTGAGATTTCAAGGTTTTAAACACATTTTCTAATGTTTGTACAATGTAGACTTTCAACTGTTACTTGAATAGGAATGTTTTTTGTACTGGGAGGCCAACTCGGCACTATCCACTGAGCAAATCTCAGTCCCTTTTAATTTTTTGAGACATAAGTTGCTGAAGTTGGTCTCAAACTTACAATCCTCCTGCCACAGCCACTCAAGTTGCTGGTATTACAGGCAAATCCTACCATGCCCGGCTTCAAGAGGAATTTATATGTGATGGTCACACATGGTATCTCAAACTACAGAATTATGTTAGTTCTTATAATTTGAATTCATTAACATTATGAGAAATGTAATGGGTCATATGGCAAAATGTAGTTTTTCAAAATGGAAGTTAACTTTACCACTGGTGGGGGACATGGTCTTGTTAAGGACATTTCAGGAGTTAGAGGTGGATGAGAAAGTCTGAGCAAAATTGGGCAGGTTTAAATGTATTGACATTTTTAGCATTTTATTACATAAAGACTCAAGACTGTACCACTCAATTGGCACATAAGCTTTCTTCCTTCTGGGTTTTTTTTCTTTTTAAATTTTGTCCTTGTTCCACCATAAATGTTGCACACCCTAAATTTTAGAACAGATAGGTGGTTCTCAAGCTTCGAGCATCAGAAGCACTAAAGGGCTTATTAATACCAGTACGCGGGTCCCCCCCGCACAGTGTCTGCATGTCTAAGGTGGAACCAGGGGCTTGGTCTTTCCAACAAGTTTTCAGGTGCTGCTGCTGATCTGAAGACACACACTGAGAACCAGTGGAATAGTTCATTTATCAAATAACACAAGTAAAAGTACCTTATATGGGACAGGTGAAGAATTAAGACAATTTATGGTTCAGTTGAACAACTGTACATTGTATCAGACCTTTGACAAGATACTAGGAACAGAATTATGGGAGGTAGGTTCTTCTGAAACCTACAGTTACATAGCACACACTGAAAGGTAAACATGGTATAAAGAATAAAAATAAGAATGATGTAAATATGGCACAAATATTAAAGGGGACATGTGTTAAGATGTCTTTAATTATATTTGTCTTTCCCCAGTGAAGAGCAATCTCGACTAGCAGCAAGAAAGTATGCTCGTGTGGTACAGAAGCTTGGGTTCCCTGCCAGATTTCTCGATTTTAAAATTCAGAACATGGTTGGAAGCTGCGACGTGAGATTTTCCATCAGGCTGGAGGGTTTGGTGCTAACCCATCAGCAGTTCAGTAGGTATGACAAAACGGTTATAGAGCTTAACTTTGCATTTACCAAGATTTTGAGGTTTCATTGTGGGCTATTTATATATGTTTTTTTTTTTGTCGTTGTTTGCTTTGGATACCAGGGATTAAACCCAGGGGTGCTTAACCACTGGGCAACATCTCCAGCCCTTATGTTTTTTTTTTGTTTGTTTGTTTTAATTTTGATTCAGGGTCTCACTAAATTGCTAATTCTGGCTTTGAGCCTGCAATCCTCCTGCCTCAGCCTCCGAAGCTCCTGGGATTACAGATAGGCACTGCACTCTTAGCATATAAAGTATTAGAGAAAGCAATTATCAAAAAAGGGGGAGGCACAGTAGGTTAGATGGTTCAGATGCTGTGTCTGAGTCCTTATGGATCAACATATGGGCCCATTCTTTTGAAAAAGTGGTTCTCATGCTTAAATTGTATAGTGATCACCTGGACAGTTTATTAGAGTCTACATTCCTGGCTGGGCTACATCACCAAAGACTTTGATTTTAAGTCTTAAAAAGCTCACAGGTGATGCCAGTGTTCCTGGTCAGTGGCCTTTGGTTTGAGACCCACTGATTGACAGACTTAAAAAACAGGCACACATGACTTTGATGGCAACAGCAAGAAATGAAGGGGTGCAATACTGGTTGGGCAAATAGGAGGGGGTTACAGCTGGTGAGCAGAGAAAGGGTTGGAGATAAAAATGAAGAAAAAAATTGTTGTAGCATATTCTAAAAAAGCAATCGTACCTACTTGTTTTGTTGGGGGTGGCTCTTTTGGTGACTATAGCTGTATCCTCCATCACAATGTTGTCTTTACTGTATTTTACTCCCAAGGAAGTCTCCAGCCCTTCATGTCTTCTTCACACCTAACTTTCTGTTTGAACCGCCATTTTTTTTCTTCTGACCCTACCTGCTTTGGCCCTCAGAGCAATGCCAAATCCCTCCACTCCTTTGGCTATGCACCTGGGCTAACGCATCTAACTTGTAATTAGAATCACAAATGCTTTTAAATTCTCTTGATCAAGCTTGAAATTAAGTTCTTTCATTCAAACATTTTACCTTCTCTTTGCCAGTGAACAATAGAGTGGATGGGGATAGTGGAAGGCATGCTTTTCTTAACCTTCATTAGTTTTCTTTTAAAGATGATCTCAACAGAAGTTAAAAATTGCTAGGTTTTTCATTCTGAGATTTAGCTTTTATGATATGCATTAGTCAATGTTTTTCACATGAGACTTAAAGAATGACTCAGGATGGCCAAGAAATTGGCAGGAGTTTAATATCCTCAGTCTATATGGAATATTTTCTTAACGAAAACTACTCCTTTTCTCTGCCTTAGCCCTTATTTATTTTCAGAGAAGAGAATTGAATCTGAGACCTTGACCACTCGGCTATATTCCCAGCCTCTCTTATAGAATGAAACAGAATAAATAAATATCTAATCAGGAGTTCATTATGCTGGTTACCTTACAACCATGATTTTGAAGGTAAATGATCTCTCTTGGAATTACTGAACTCTGCCACTGCAGTTCACCATTTACACACCAAGGTCTTGTTTACTTTTTCCCCCTCAGATTCCTAAGATTCAGTTGGAAGATGAGATGAAAACTTTCCTTCTGTCTCCCCAGCCTTCATCTTATTGGCCTGGACATCAAAGCTCTGGAAGGGTTTTCAGGACTCAGCTAGTATCATGGTCTCTTGAAGACCAGGAAGCAGAAAGTGGATGGGAATCCTGATAGATTTTCTGCAGTAAGGCAGAGTGGTGTTCTAGAGGAAAGGTCTACCATGGTGACTTTCATGCCCTACACAAGGCTCTCATCACAACTGCAGTGCATCTTTCTGGTGCTAATAAGAGGTTTCACATCTGTTATGGATTTTATTCATTGTAGAACTAAACAGAGCTTCTCTGTGTGGTCTGGGTTTACCCTTTAAATGCAAATATTCGTGTACATTATATTATCAGATTTCTTTTTTCTATTCTTCATTAGCCATTGTTTTGAGAATAGTTTTACTTCATCAGCCTCCTTTTTTTTCTAATTAGTTGTACATGACAGCAGAATGAATTTCAATTCATTGTACACAAATGGAGCCAACTTTTCACTTCTCTGGTTGTACACAATGTAGAGTCACACCATTGGTGCAATCTTACATGTATCTAGGGTAATGATGCCCATCTCATTCCACCATCTTTCCTACCCCCATGCCCCCTCCCCTCCCCTCCCCTCACTCCCCTCTGTCCAATTCAAAGTTCTTCCAATCTTCCCAGGTGCACTCCCCCGCCCCTCCCATTATGGATCAGCATCCACTTATCAGAGAAAACATTTCATCAGCCTCCTCTTATCTCCTGACTTCCATGTGGGCAGCTTCTCAACCTCTTTATGGACTCTGTCCTGTTTGGACTGGGGTATAGAAAGGCGGTTTTTAAGTCCTATCATCTTTTGTCCCATAGAAGCCAGATTACATTTGGTAGTAAATATGAATGAGTTACTATTCACAGGAACAGGAACAAATTCTGAATTTTACAAACTCAGGATAGTTTAGTTATCTTTCTTTACATAGTAATTGTCCAAAGAAAAAATCACTGGTCTAGAAATTTTTAGGCCCTATCTGGGCTAAAAAACACTAAAGCTTTTGATTATTAGGAACTTGGAAAATCCAGAAAATTGTATTCATGTACTGTTATTGGCAGGCTTTTGTTGAAAGGTGGAGAATTTTAATCAACAAGGTCATAATACATTAAATCTGATGCCCTAAATTACCTCAATTTCTAATAACCTAGGCTGACTTGAAAATGAAAAAATATAACCAAAAATTCTGTTCTTGACTGCCAGAAGTGTCTATACTCAGGGTTGGAGTATAGCTCATTGGGTAAGTGCATGCACAATGCCCTGGGTTTGATCCCCAGTACTGTATGCTCCCCCAAAAAAGTGTCTTCAGGATACTACTTTAATCAAGATAACTAAAAGTACTTTTTTCTTTTTGGTTTTTTTTTTTGGATTTTTAAATAGCAGTTATTTACAACTGCTTAATATACTGGGTCTTGAATGTTTGTGGAAAGTAGCTGAATAGTGCTATTTTTAACATTTTCCTTTTTTGTCTTAACAGTTATGAACCTGAACTGTTTCCTGGCCTTATTTATAGAATGGTAAAACCACGAATTGTGTTGCTTATCTTTGTATCTGGGAAAGTTGTGTTGACAGGTAAGTTCTAAAATTATTTTCTGACGTTCACAAAATTCAATAGCTATGTATATGCTTTGCTTTTCCTTTTTAAATAGCTTTGTTCCCTAGAAGGTAATTTCTTACTATAGAATATTGGTAAAATGAGTTTATAAAGTAATATAACATCACCTGTTGGCCCCAATTCCTAAAACAATATGGCTTTTTTTCCATGGGTGTCATTTTGGGGGGGCGGTGTATGCACATAGCTCAGCAGGTGAGTATTTGCCTAGCATTCACAAGGTCCTGGGTTTGAACCCCAGTGCTGTATGCCAAAAAAAAAGTGTCCTCAGGATAACACTTTTATCACATACACACACACATATATTTATATATATTTTCATCTTTACATTCAGTACATTTTATTGATTTTACTAATAAGTAGCTTAATAAGTAGCTTGTTGCTTACTAATAAATAGCTTGATGCATACTTATGATGGCTTTTAATAGCTAAACAATGTTCTAAGACAGGTCAGCAAGCCTTTTTCATAAGGGACCAAATAATAAGTATTTAGGCTTTGTGAGCCATGGGGTCTCTCTTGGAATTACTGAACTCTGCCACTGTAGTACAAAAGCAGCTGTGTAAATCACACGGAGAATGGGCTCGTATATTTTTTTGTGAATTTCATAGAATTTATGGATAGGCAAGTGCTATACCACTGAGCTATATCTCTAGTCCTTTGTTGAGACAGGTAAGTTTCCCAGGCTGGCCTCAAACTTGCAACCCTCCTGCCTCAGCCTCCCAAGTATTTGGGATTACAGGTGTGGATCACTGCCCCCAGCTTCTCCTTAAAAACATAACCATCCTTCTTAGCTCATAGACTAACAAAAATAAAGGGCTGACTTTGGCCAGCAGACCTACATTTTCTGACCCCTATTCTAGCAAGTTGAATCAACATTATTCTCAGTGTCAGATACTTGAGCTCATTTTTTGTTTGCTACCTATAAATGGCACAAACATTTGGTTATTTTAATTTGTGCAGAATTATTAGTGTGGACACTCAGAAATGGAACTTCTGAGGATATGACTGCTTTCAAGGTTCTTAGTACAAATTGCCAAATTCTTTTAAAGGTATACAATGGTTTTCTTGTATCATACATTCCTGCCAGCGATGTATCTAAGTATCTTTTGCCAAACCCTCAGCAACGCAAAAAGAGTAGAAAACTTTTTAAATTATGTAAGTGAAATGATCTTACTACTTTAACATTTCTAGTAATCAGAAATAGAAATTGATAGCTTTTCAACATAGCCAATAAGTAGCATTTTTTTCATGTAAATAGTGTGTACATAACATACCCTTTTGTCAAGTTTTAGTTATTTGCCCCCCCTTGGAATTTGTACTAATTCACCATAATCTTAAAGAAATTTGTGAATTTCTTCCATTAATTAATTTTTTTGATACTGGGGATTGAACTTGGGTGCTTTACCACAGAGCAACATCTCCAGTCCCTTTTAATTTTTTGAGACAGGGCCTCACTAAATTGCTTAGGTTGACCTTGAACCTCCTGCCTCAGCCTCCAGAATTGCTAGATTACAGGCATGTACCACCATGCCACTAGGCTCCCCTTAATTGATTTTTTTTTTTTTTACCAATTTTTACATAAAGAAGGCTTTAAAAAATTCTTGAGGTAAATGATTGAATTTCCATGTAATTTCACCAAAGTTTGCTGTTTTTGCCTAGTTTTATCTGACTTTTTTTTGTATTTTACTCTTCTCCCAAAATGAATGTCAGGTTTATAAAGCATGAGCCAAATTTGAGTTTCACATCCCACTCCCAAATAACCACCCAAATCGATGTTGCACATTCTTATTCTCTTTGTGATTTTTGACTTTTATTTTTTCATGTGGGTCTGTTTCTGCCTATTGCAATCCTACTGCATTTATCCTCATGAATCTTTAATTCTTGTGTTCTTTATATCTGATAGAAAGATTCAATTTCCCCTCCTTGTTTCTGTATCTTTCTTATCACCTCTTGCAGTTACTCTTCCAAAAAAAACTTCATCTCTTTAAAAATTAAGATTTTTGTGCCAGGCACAGTAGTACATACCTGTAATTCCAGATGTTGAGGCAGGAGGATCCCAAGTTCAAGACCAGTCTCAGAAACTTAGCAAGGCCCTGTCTCAGAATAAAAAATAAAAAGAGCTAGGGATGTAGCTTAGTGGTGAAGTGCCCCTGGGTTGAATTCCCAGTACTCACTCACCCCAAGATTTTTGTATTACCTGAACTAAGAAAAATTGTTGTCAACTTGGCATCCAGCAGAATGGAATGTTTGTTTTAAAAAGTCTTTTATAACTCTCATAAGGTTATATAGTTTGCTCTTTTAGAAATAACTGTCTTCAAAGCAGGTAAAGCCTGTTTGGAAATTTGATTCTTTTGACTAGAGCAAAACTACAGTTCCTCAGATGTCACAAATTTAGATTCGGGAGTATTGGGACTTCCCAGTGACTAGCATGTATATCCTAGAGGAAGGGGAAAGCCTGCTAAGTAAATTGAGTAGTACTGATATATGGATCCTACTTAATAGGAAGAAACTTTTCAAGATCTTTTGGAAGTATACTTTCACGTACATTGTGTGTATCATTATGAATCAATCTCATTAAATGTACACGTTGCCACATACAGACTAAAGTTCCTATTATAGATTTCTTTAAATATTCTCAATTCAGATCAGTTTTCCATGGCCAGATGCACACCTGTAATCCCAGTGACTTGGGAGGTTGAGGCAGGAAAAGAAATGGCTTTCCCACTTAACCTAAATTAAAAAAAAAAAACTCATTTACACATTTCCTGCAAGTTTCAAATCACAAGTTATGTCATTACTACAGAATCCTGAAGAGCAAACAAATGTACATCCTTAAAACTTGTGTAAGTAAACTGGGTATGTTAGTTAGCACATGCCTATAATCCTAACTCTTCGCAAGGCTGAGGCAGGAGGATCATAAGTTCAAGGCCAACTTCTGGTATTTAGCAAAACTCTATCAAAATTAAAAATAAAAATGAGTGGTGATATAGCTACATGGTAGAGCACTTGCTTAGCATGCTCCAGGCCTTGGGCTGGATCCCCAATACACACATAATCTTGTGTTAAGCAAGTAAAATAAGCAATTCCGATTTTTTTTTTTCTTTTCAGGGCTTGGGGATCATATTCAGAGCCTCATGCATACCAGGCAAGGGCTCTACCAGTTCACAGCCCTAAATTTCCTCATTCTTTGCACCATTATACCCAGCTTTCCTAACACACTTTCTTCATCCTTGCAAATGTGAATCATCACTTTTGTGAAAGAGGGGATGAATATTTTAACTGAAATTCAAATTGTACTATTGGGAAGTAAAGTCAATCCATGACTTACTACTAAATTGATGGATAGTTATCATTCATTGGGTTTTTACCTGTTAATGCCATATTGTCTTTTGTTTATACCATATTGTCTTAAATTACTTTTGCTTAGAGCTACAAGATTTAGGCTACTTTCCCCTCAACTTTAGAGATGAATGTTCCTTATTCATTAACCTTAGTTACCTACATTCCTCTCAAATGTAAAAGAATTAAAAACTGAAGAGCCCAATTTAGGGCAAGTAAACATCCAGGAAAAGGGACCAAGGCAGCCTCTTTGTAGCCTTGCCTGTATGCAGAAGCTGGGGTGCTTGGGTAGGGTGCTCAACAGAGTCCTAGAGGCTCACATGTGGCCTCAGACACCATGGCAAGATAAGGTCTCAGTAGAGATGTTTTGAAAGTATGGTCTCAACAAGAACAAATATTTTGCCTAGAAAATTCTCAAGTGTTGAAGTTACAAATTCACTCTGAGTTTGCAGAAAATGATTCCCAGCCTTTCCCTAGAATTATAAAACACCAGTGTGCATAATACAAATGTGTGGCTACTTGAAACCACTGTATCACATGCCAGTTGCAAGGCCTTAGGATTTCGTTGTTATGGTTATTTAGCCCAGGGGCATTTTGCCACTGAGCTATATCCTCAAATTTTTTTAATTGAGGAAGGCGATAGGGTCTCATTAAGTTGTTTAGGGCTTCATTAAATTGCTGAGGCTGGCCTCAAACTTGTGATTCTCCTCTCAGCCTTGGGAGTTGCTGGGATTACAGGATTGTGCTACAGCTCCTGGTTTAGAAAATAATAACCCATGTAAAATTCTCACTCCCAAGGTGCCAAAGCTGCAGTCACCATGTCCTAGGGCTACATCTGAATGTTCTAATAAAAAGTGAGCTAAGGACAAAAAGGCCCTGCTATGCTCCTTGATCATCATCTCATGTTGTTGCAGATAGCAGTGGTACCTGGGATGAGATTACACTGTTTTCCCTCATTTTCTGTTACTGATGTGACATTAAGGACCCAGGTTTCTCCTCAGACCACAGAAAAATTAATAGCCTCACTATTAATAAAAAATTAATAGCCTCATTATTCTGCTGGAATAATACACAAGAAACAGCAAATAAATCAACTTTCACTTCTGAAATCAGGTGTAATAATTAACAGCTGTTGGGCACTCATGCCAGCACTGTGCTAGCAACTTGTACATGGGGTCTATTTGTCTCTGAGATTGAACTTTACACCTGTTTCCTCTCCTATAAAATGGAGACAATGGAGAAATTTAGTAACCTTAACAAGGCCAACCAGTTCTTTAGAGATCTATGTATGATAACACCTGTATGGTCTCCTGTGTGCTTCTTTTCTAATTCTTGTCAGCTGAGGGAATGATAAATACTTAGTGGTGAGGGGGAACAGGTGTGATGGCCAAGATGTACACTGGAGACTGACTATCCAGTTTGCATCCAGGCTCTGCCATTTATCAGCCACATGACTTCAGAGGAATTTAAGTTTCCACTTTTTGGTTTTCATATGTGTAATGCAGGTAACCATAGAAACTCCCTAAGTGTTCAGAGGAAGCAGAAAACAGTGCCCATATATGGTGTAAACACTAGCTGTTAGGATCTTTGATAAACCTAGCAGGGTGTGGTTGTGCACACCTGTGATCCCAATGGCTTGGGAGGCTAAGGCAGGAGCATCACAAGCTCAAAGCCAGCCTCAGCTACTTAGTGAGGCCCTAAGCAACTTAGCAAGATCCTGTCTCAAAATAAGACCGGGTCTCAAAATAAAAAGTTCTGGGAATGTGGCTCAGTGTCCCTACATTCAATCCCCAGTACAAAAATACAAAACAATCCTACTCTCCTGGTTGTTTCCGTAAAGTTGAAAAAGACTAGAATTTAGTTATGATGCCTTGCTCTGATGGGAACAGGATGTCTAAAGAGGATTTAGTAAAATGCTTCACATTTACTTATTTCTTTCCAAAATAAAGGACTAAGAAGCTGAGTCATTGTTACTGAGGGTCAGCCTCAATAGCTCAGTGATTCTTGGAAAATAGGTCAGGAACAGCAGGAAAAGGGCAGAGCTGATGAATGAGTGGGCCAGAGGGAACACAGCATGTCTGTCAATCATACAGCAAGTTGGTATGTACTATAAAATGAGAACTCTCAGGGGTTTAATGCTACTTTAAAAAAAAATGTAAGATTTGAACTTGTGTGCACACAAATGTGGCATCACTTAGGGAAAATAAAATGGACAGTTCTACTCTTGGTAAGAATAGCATTGGGAAGTCCAAGTAGTATTGGAGATTGATACATGGGCTGGCTAAGACATGAAAATGTGCTGGCAACCCTTATTGACAAATGATATGCTTATTTTGGGGTGCATACCAGGTATTTGTACTGTTAGGTGCTGAGGATCCAACTTAGTATCTGGCAGGAACCCAGCCCTGACGAAGGAGACATGCAAATTATGTGACAGTGGCTCTTACCAAGTAAGAAGTCAGGTACTTGGACCAGCTTTCCCAGCTTCTCTTATCTTGAAGTATATTCAAGGACAAAAAAAAAAAATAAGGTTTACAAAATGTTCTGGCTTTCAGAGGACTTTCCATAAACAATAATCATATAACCCTTATCACAACTCTATGATAAAGCCTATTGTACCTATTTTATGGATAAGGAAACTAAAACTCGGAGGTTAAATAATTGCCTGTTATGTTAAAACAAGTAGAGTTGGCATTTGAGCCCTTACTTGATTTCAAAGCCAGCCCTTTCTCCAGTGTACCAGGCCATAGAATCTCCTTTCCACCTCTGTCACTAAGGTTAGGAATAGTGTTTGTTCCCCACGGTAGCAGCATTACTGCCTACAGAAAAACAATGGTATGATTTGCTTAAAAGTCAAGGGCCATATAATTAGTCTGGTGCTACAAATTGGGGGTTTTGATTTGATTTGAATAGGATTGTGGAACAAATTAAAGTTCCCTTAAATTTTTTAAAATATTTTTTTGTAGTTGGACACAATACCTTTATTTTTATGTGGTGCTGAGGATTGAACCCAGTGCTTCACACATGCTAGGTAAGTACTCTACCACTGAGCCACAATCCAGCCCCTCCCTTAAATTTTGATGTCAGCATTTCAGTGAGGAAATGTTTGACTAAAATGTTTGACTAGGGCTTGCGATGTAGCTCAGTGGTGAAGCACCTACTTAGAATGTTTCAGGCCCAGGATTTGATCCCCAGAAACATCCCCTCCTCCCTGCCAATTTTTTTTTTTTTTTTGGCTAAACTGGGCTGGAGTCATACCTCTGTGGTAGAACATGGTGGCTTAGCATGCCCAAGACTCTGGATTTAATCCTTAACACCCCTCCCCCCAAAACTTGACTAAATTAACTAAATTCTCTCAGTTAACACCTAGTTACCAGTATTAGAGATGCTTATTTGACCTTTGGTGTAAAAGAAGAAACACTGATACATGACCTCTTCTACCATAGCGGCTATTTTTTAAAAGAATTTTTTAAAGTTATAGATGGCCACAATATCTTTATTTTACTTATTTATGTGGTACTGAAGATTGAACCCAGTGCCTCACGCATGCGAGCCACAACCCCAGCCTACAGAAACTATTTTATGATTTAGATAACTTTGATTTCTTGCTCTTTTCTCCAATCTATAAAATGAAGAAAATGCACAAGGTAGTTTTCCTACAGCCCTTGTGTTTAAAGACACTTTCCTATGCTATAAAATAATGACCTCTCCAGTGTCCATTCCCTTTTGGCAATGGGTGTTTTCTGGTTCCCAGGAGACTCTAGATGGTATGTTCTTTGTGCTTGAATGTTATGCTCTCGGGCATGGTTTTAAAAAGTGTTATGGAGAAAAAGTACATCATTATTTAAATTGCTGCACCTGAACACATTTCTCAGTGAAATATAGAAAGGAGAGCCTTGGTTTCAGGTGGATCTTTTTGGTGGGGGGATCGGGAGCAGGGGCGAGGGTTGGGGGGGACACATGGTAGGTTTGCTGTAACCATTCTTCATTCTACATTAAAAAGGTTATTCCAGTCAAACATGTACATAAAGCCAGAGACAAGGGGTTCTTTTACAGTAATCTTTTACTTCTTCCCCAACTCACTGTCTTAGTTTCTAAAGACACTGGTTTTATAAAAACCAAACTTCAGTACTGAAACCAAAATCATCTGAGTTTTCGCTACAGAGGTACAGAGCTTATCTCTCTGCCCTCCCTACCCACATCTTTCAGGGTGGAGACACAAATAGTAAACTCCTTGGCAGTAAATAAGTAACCGTTTGCTCTTGCCTCTCCCAATAAAAACAAAAACAACAACAACCAAAAAAACCTTAAAATTACATGAACTTTCTTTAAAGAATCTGAGGTGGAATTCATATAACAAATGCAACCACTTTAAAGTCAACAGTTCAGTGGCATTTCATACTTTCATAAAGTTGTACTTTGTGAATGTACCACCACTTCTATATAGTTTGAAGACATTTCCATTGTTTCAAAATCCTGGGTCATTAGTTTCCCCCCATTCCCCTCTCCTGAGTCAGTCCCCCTACCACCACCTGTCTCAGTTGTCTCCATGGATTTACCTACTTTGGAAATTTCATATAGATATAATCAGATGACCTTTTCTGTCTGGCTTTATTTAGAGACTCATCTATATCTTACCACATGTCAACACTTCATTTCTTTTTATAGCTAATGTTCTATTATGTATGTACTACAAATTTTTATCCATTCATGTATTGAAAGGCATTTATGTTGTTTCCCACCTTTTGATTATTGTGAATAGTGTTGATATGAAAGCTTGTCTTCAGTTTTATGGGGGCATTTACCCCAGAGTAGAACTGCTGAATCATGTGTTAAGTCCTTAATTTTTTTTTTTTTTTAATTATGGGGATTGAATCCAGTGGTGCTTCACCACTGAGCTACATCCCCAGCCTTTTTGTTTTTAAATTTTGAGACAGTTTCACTAAGTTGTTGAGGCTAGTCTGGAAATTGATATCCTCCTGCCTCAGCCTCCCAAGTGCTGGGATTACAGGAATGTACCACCACACCTAATTTCTTGAACCACCGGAGTTGAACAATTTTGTACTTCCATCAGCAACTTACCAGAGTACTAATTCACTCTTGCAATCACTTGGGTTTTGTTTTTGTTTTTAAGAAAAATGTCTTATCCTTGATTCTGAATCCTGACAGCTGTGCTTCTCATCTCTATTGGCACTCCTTTTTGGAATTCCCTCATTAGTACAAAAACCAGAAAACTTATCGGGTTTTCTCTTATGAAGCCTTCTTCTCTCCAACTTTATAGCTCTTAAGGAAGAATAGTACTAATTTTGGCTATTGTCCATTTCTCCTTATGCTAAATTTTTGTTCCTTTCATTAACCACCTTCCTGGCTTCCTGGCCACAAAAATGTCAGAAGTTTCATGATTAGCTATATAGACATCAGAAGTGCCATCATGACAGTACAATGTGTGCATATACTTTTGAAGGTGATGGGATGGTGGTGAGAGATAAGTAGGAACTGTTAACTTCTCAAGGGTGAAGACTAATTCATGTTTTTATCCCTGTTAACTTCTAGGCAGTATAATCAAAGATCCCTTAAAAGCTAAGACTAATGCTAATGGTGCAAAATTTCCAATTCCTTCCCATACACTGAAAATTTACACTCTAGAACAGCTCCACTCTGTCTAAATCTATTAGTCAAATTAGGGAATCAAGACAATAACTAGAGATGAATGGATCAAAGGAAGTGCTCAATGCTGAAGAAGTCACTCTGGGGTTGTGTTCCTGGAACACTTATAGAACATTCTATATTTAACCTCTGTGGGGCCAAAGATGACACCCATATAGTGCAAGAGACTTCCAAGAGATTTCATCATATGCAAAGTAACTGGAGATTACACAATTAAATTTTAATGTTAGGAAAAGTTTGGTATTTTTATATTAAAGATTATATGAACTTGGTTTTCTTTGTAGGTGCCAAAGAACGTTCTGAGATCTATGAAGCATTTGAAAACATCTATCCTATTCTAAAAGGTTTTAAAAAAGCCTGAGCCTGTTATTCAACATTATATTAATTGAATTATGTACATAAGTCCAGCATAGCAACAGCTGAATTCTTGCAACTTTAATTGTAGATGTTCAAGTTTATTTTGGCTTTTCATAGGGTGGTTGATTCTATGTGAGTAACCATGCTTAAGAAATGAAGAAAATTTCTTGCTCAAAATGACTCTTGCATCTTATTTTAAAAATTGAATAAGAAAACTGTTCTTAGAATTTAAGATTTATGGCCTTATTAGAATATTTTAGCATCATTAATATTCAATTTTCTGCTTTTGTTAAATATGTAATACAGTAGCATGTGTTCTCTGAATATGTAGCAATGTATAAAATTGCAAATAACTGCATAAACTAATACCTGTAATATCATTTAGCAGCATAGATTTTTTTTCTTTTTAAATATTAAGATTATCCTGACCATTAGATAAAGGTACTATAAAGGATCCTGTGGGAATGCAAGTGAAACATGAAAAGTCTGAGGGCCAGGATTGGAGCTCAGTGGCAGAGCACTTGCCTAACATGTGTGAGGCACTGGATTCAAGTCTCATGACCACATATAAATAAAAATAAAGGTCTATCAACTAAAAAATTAAAAAAATGAAAAATCTGAAACCTGAATCTTTTGTTTGAAATATCCAGAGAAAATTGTCACTTAAAGATCTCACTTTTGGGCTGGGACTGTGGCTCAGCTATAGAGCGCTTGCCTAGCATGTGTGAGGCCCTGGGTTCGGTCCTCAGCACCACATAAAAATAAGTAAAGGTACTGTGTCCAACTACAACTAAAAAATAAATATTAAAAAAATCTCACTTTCAGGAACCATTCAGGTTTAGAGTAAGCCATTTTGGAAACAATACAAATTGTTTTCTGCATACTCTTAGACTCCATAGTAACTGTATTTAACAACCCAGATAAGACTGAGGATGGAGGTGCAAAGGGTACAGACTGAAGACCTAACTAGGTTGTAGCATCACCAGCATTTACGGAGATGTCGGGTTAACATGGATGGGACTAACATTACCTACGTGGCATTGATTATGTCCTTCAAGAGACACTTCAGTCTCTCTAATGCAGAGACTGTATGTGATGGCTTCAGAACATCTTTTCATACCTAGGAGGCAGTTCTGAGTCTCTGCGTGTGGAACTTGGAGAGAATTCCCAACTAGAGAGTTCAGGGCAGTAGTCAGTGGCAATTCTACCGAAATAATCCTTGAGAATCAGTCTAAATGATTTGACCCACAAACCTACTTTTCTTTTTTATCCTGTAGTTTAGAGACAGTCGAACCTTCTCACCCACCACCTTACTTAACCCCCAGAAACTTACTCGAAGCGAAACCCTAACCTACCTAGTTCAAATTCTTTTAGAACATAGGGTCGGGAAGGAAGGTTGGCCATTAGTTATTAGAATTGCTTTCAAAAACACAGAACTTTGATCTACACATTCAGTTTGGTTGGTTTCACTGGTTGATATAGGCAAAGTATGAGATTATTAAATGGATCTACTTAATTCTTATGGCACTAGGCAGGTACTGTAATTATATCCATTTACGAGGAGGAAAAAACACAGGTTAAAGAATTTGCTCCAAATCACGCAGCTATTAAGTAGGTGGGTGAGTCAAACTTTTACCTGGCTCCAAGACCCAACCCCTCACCCAACTTTTTCATGTGGTTTTAGCCAAACTGAAAAGCATCCTTAGAAAATCGAATTCCCTTGTTCTGTTTCCCATTCCTTTCCCCCAGGATCCTTAGGGCAACGTACAGCTATTTTTTGCATAAATTTGAGGCGGTAACTCGCAACCTTGACCTCGTCCAGCAGTCGATGCTTTGTTTGGCGGATTCGCCGTGGGTAGAACTCGCTGCGGCTTGGAGGGCTGGCAAAGCGGCAGCCGAGGCGGGGCCGGGGTCCTCCAAGACCCACGCCCGCCCCCAGCGCGCTTCCTAGGCCCCTCCTCCGCGCCCAGGATGCACCTGGTTGAAAACAAAATCCCACGTGACCGGCCCTGCGCTCAGGCCATCATGGCGTCTCCCAGTGGGAAGGGAGCCCGGGCGCCCGAGACTCCTGGCTGCGGGCCCCAGACGCTCGCCCGGGACCTGGTGGACTCCGTGGATGACGCTGAGGGGCTGTACGTGGCGGTCGAGCGGTGTCCGCTCTGCAACACCACCCGCCGGCGGCTGACCTGCGCCAAGTGTGTCCAGAGCGGCGATTTCGTCTACTTCGATGGCCGGGACCGGGAGAGGTACGGCGGCCGCCACGGCCCTATTGTTTCTTCTCTGTCTCTCTTGCCCGGCGATCAAACACTGGAGATTAGGGCCCGGGGCCCCTAGTATTGGTCCGGATGCCAGGCATCGGGGGAGGGGTAGTGGCTGTACGCCAGCGCTTGCTTGCCAGTGAACAGAGTCGGGGTTGGGGGTGTCAGGTGAGAGAAGGTCGCTGTTTCTCCATCACCCACCTGAGAGGAGTTTGACCCCACTGTGCTACTGGATACTAGGGAAAGAGGAATAGATGGTGGTTCTCGGGAGAAGTCCTCCCCTGTTGCTGCCATAGAGTGGGAGTCCTATTTCTTTGCTATAGTCCCATTCATAAAGCTTGGTTTAACCTTTTTCTGTCTTCGGAAGCACAGTCATTATCATTTGTCTCAAGAGGAGAGATGAAGAGAGAATCAAATAACTGAGAGACACTTGGGCCCTGTTAGTCCGAGTCACAGATAAGCCTTTTTATCAAATGATCTTACTCCAGTGTGTGAACTAGGACTAGCTGGTTGCTCCCTTTCCCTCCTCCCTATCTCTGAAGATTATTTTGGCTGCCTAGGGTTTGAGAGTCGTGTTTTGGCTTTGTTTTAAAATTCACATCCGGAGCTGCAGGCCTTTAGTTAAGAAAATTGCATTTAGCAATGTGTTGTGGCTTCAATTTGAAATCTAAATAGAGCCACAAGCCCTGCTAAAGGCCTTGAAAAAGCATGATTAGCAGTAGGGTCTTCCATTCCCATACTTTGTTTCACTAGTTTAGTTCCAATGATGGTAAGATATCTGAACTTTCATGTTCAAAGAGTTAGCAGTGTATTCTTTTACAATAACCCAGTAATCCCCAATTTATTACTGAGAAAACCAAGGCACAGTAAGTGCCTTGCCCTACCTCATACCGATAATAAGGGTAAGGATCAGAATTAAAACCCAGACAATGTGGATTCATATACCCATGCATTTAATTACTGGACTCTACAACCTCTAGATTTTGGAATTGTTTACATTCCTAGTATCCTTGTGATCATAGATGGGAGTTCTTTTCTCTTTTAAGGAGATATGTACATTTTTTAAAAAAAATTTGGCACCTGCCACATTGATGCATTAGATGACTTTACCAACCACCCATATCATAAGTGATAGTGTTAAAAATTAAAAACAGTTTTATTATAAGAATACTGGTGTGAGATGGAAATGTCTAATTGATTTAGTTTATCAAGGGTTTAATTCTGGATCTTTTCTCCATCTATACTGTTTCTTAGAAATATTCCCATGATTTATGCCTTCTAGATGCTGAAGTCTATCAGTCATATATCTTCAACTTGGACCTCTCTGAAATCCAGAAAACAGCTGCTTATTCAACATCTGTGTTTAAGAGCCATAAGCCTTAAACTTAAGTATCCCATCTTAATATGGCAAACTGAACTCTTGATTTTAAATTTATAAATCTATTCCTCATACCTCATACCAACTCAGTAAATGGCAATGTCATTTTTCCTTTATGTAGGCCAAAAAAGAAAATCTTCCAGTCCTCTTTGACTCCAGTGTTAAGCAGCTATATTTAATTTCATCAACAAATCCTATCTACTCTTCAAAACCTGTACTGAATCTTATCCTCTCACCATCACCTGGTATGATCCACTAGAGGATTACTGCCTCTTGTGTCTCTGCTTCCACCCTTGCCTGCCCTGTTATTGCAATTTCCTTCTTGTAATCAGAGTAATGCTACTCCTTCATTCTTTTGTTCAAATTGTCAGCACTTTTCCATTTTGCCCCAAGTAAAAGCCAAATCCTCAACCAAAGTTCTGTATCATCTGTTCCTCCTCTGATCTAATCTCATTATATTCTTTACCTACTTTCTTTTACCACCTTGGCCTCTTTGTCAGTCCAAGAACACTCTCTTAGGGCCTTCGCAGTCACATTCAGATTGCCAAAATCTTTTCTTCCAAAATATTCAGGACAGTTTGTTTTGTTTAAATCCTGCTTATACATTAGAAAGACTCTTTAGGATCCTTCAATTAAAATAGTAACCTCTTTACTGCTTAACCTGCTTTATTCCGTATCACTTATCATCATCGGATGGTTCACAGGTTAATTTGTCTAACTGTGCCCCCCACTCCAGTGATGTAAAACTATATGCAGGCAAGACTTTATGTACACTGTTCTATCTTCACATAACTCAATAAAGGTTTATGAAATGATTGAATGAATCTACCCCTCCTTTGCAAGTAATCTATTCCTGGACTATTCCTGATCCAAAGCTAGAAGCCCAGGAGTTAGGTTAGCCTTCTCCTTTCTTGTATTCCCTACATCTAAGTCATTGGCCTAATGCAATCTGACACTAGAATACATCTTGAATGTGTCCACTTCTGATCCAGGCCACTGTTTTTTCCATTGTTACTACTTAATGATCTTTTACTCAAGACTCCCCCTCCCACTTCTCTCCTCACAGCAGCTTCATTAGAAATGTAAAGCAGATAATGCCACTGTTGCTTAAATCTTTCAATGGCATTCCACTTCATTTAAAATAAAATCCAATCTCCTTGCAAAGGCATATGAAGCCCCATGTGATTTGGCAGCTGCTTGCTTCTCTAACTTTGGCTATAAGGTTGAGTTAAAAATGTGAGCTTTGCATTCATGCTACATCTAATTAAATCCAAATCCCACAACTTACTATGTGATTTGGACCAAGTTTCTTAACCTCTTATGCCTTTTTCATTTTGAAAAAGACTGGGTGTCAAGTGTCTAGTAATGATTTTATAAAAGCATGCATACAAAGGGCCTAGCAGGATGTTTACAAATATTAGGCACTTAAAAAAAAATGTGTGCCATGCTCCCCCCCCTTATTCACTGCTCCATAGTCATGACCTTCTCTAAAATCCTTAAGCACATGCTGTCCCTTCTGCTTACATCACTTTTCTTTTTGTCTGTTACCTTAACTTTAATCTCCAAACTTAAATGTCACTTCCTCAATGAGGGCTTCCCTGACCTTCCTCAATGAGGTAGATTTCCACCTCCATCTCTCACCATTATTTGTCATAATAACATTCAGTTTATTTCTTGTTTGGTGGTAGGCATGATGTGTAATGCTATTTGAGAAAAATATCTGCATCCAGAATGTAGTTCCATGAAAGCATGACTTAGCAGCAGGAGATGGCACATAGACCATGATCAAAGAAAGGGAAAAGGCAAAACTACTTTTAAAACTTTAGGCAGGTGTGGGGGGGTGGACCTCTGTAGAAGATTGTGCTTCCCTAGCATGTGTGAGGCCCTGGGTTTAATCCCCAGCATTGAAAAAACAAAAAAACCCTTACATATAGATTCTTTGCCAAATTTTAGCATTACAGTGAATATTCAGAAAAATAATTTATTATATTGGATTTATTTTCCTGACCAAACAGAAAAAATGGAGAGCAAATTCCCCAACGATTCATAATTTGGAGCTACAAAAGAGAGTTTGAGGTTCAGGGGTAACAGGACTACCACAGAGGTCTGTTCAACCAGCTTCCCTTCTTTCTCCCATCTCTGAACTCCATGTGCCTTTAAAAGAGGGTTTTGTTTTTCTTTGTTTCCGGACGTTGCTCAGTGTCTAGTAGGGTGAAAGAATCTTTTGAGATCCAGGACCACTGTCCTAATAGCCAACTAATTTTTAATGGTTTCTCATTGGGTACCATTATATGCATAAAACATTTTGGCAAGTTACAGAGAAAGATGGGTCTCTGCTCTCAGGATTTACACTGACTGCTAGTTTTAATGGCTTAGCGGTTCAAGGGAAATTAGGTATTGAATAAATCTACCTCACAATAGTTCCTTTAATTCCCAAGAAGGGAGTCTATGTCATATAACCATATGAATGTGGCATATAGGTTTGTTGGAAAAATATCCAAACTTAATCTTTCTTTGTTTTGTGGGATAACCTCATAACTTTTGTATCCTCACCCACATGATCCTTCCTTATCGTCTTTCTTGCCCCCAGTCTTAAAACAACATGTTCTTTTCTGCTTTTTTGTCCACATTTTAACTTAGATTCCCTTAGGAGAGGAATGATAACAAGCAGTATAATCTTTGGGTATAGTAACTTCTGAACAGTTTAAAATTACAGGCCTTTTAACAGGAGTGTAATTTTCTGGATTATACATTTATCTGACTCAAAAGAGCATTCTAAGCATAGATATTATCAGCATAGATAACTTGTAGGTTGAGTAATCTTTCCACCCCAAACCAAGAAATTGGTTATCAGTTCATGATAGGTGGAGGAATGGGGCCAGGAATGAGATCTGAGAAATCTGTCAGCAGGTGTGTTGTTGTTGTTGTTGTTACCAGGGATTGAACCTAAGTGTGCTTGATCACTGAGCCACATCCTTTTGTTTTTTATTTTGAGATAGGTACTAACTGGGTTGCCTAGATCCTTGGTAGATTGCTGAGGCTGGCTTCAAATCTGTGATTCTTCTGCCTTGGCCACTGAACCACTGGGATTACAGACATATGCCACCAAGCTCGGCCTGTCTGCTGGTTTAGAAACCAGCAATTTTTCAAGTATGGATTAAAAAGACACATTTTAGAACTATGTGGGTATTATGATTATACTTTTTCCAGGAAACAGAAATGCAGGCACTAAGCAAACTGATAGATAGGATAAAAGATGGGAAGAAATTTGGATGTTACTGTAAATTTCTGTGCTGACGCTGATGTTTC